TACAAACAGCTCCGTAAACTTCATTAACGCAAGGTACTTCATCACTGACGATTTTAATAACTTTTTGCCTATAAAAAGCACACTGATATCCATCAGTGTGTGGCGGAACCCAGCCGATAGAATTAAACATAATCGCGCTTGGAGCAGCCCACAGTCCACATGCTGATATCGTCTGATTGGACTTGATACACACTAGGAGGGCTGTGCAATCCGCTGAAAAATGGCCAAAATTTTCAAGTGCGTCCTTGCCAACGGCAATGTTCGGTGCACGAATTATGTATTTGAAGAGGTAGACTGAAAGCCTTTTTTTCTTTAACATCGGTGATACTTAAAATGTTGAAACAAGAACAGTACCTTGGCCAGTATGTCAAGCATTCCTCGAGTTTTAGTTTTCATATTTTATGTTTGGTTTTTAGGGTTGTTTGACTGACCTTTGTTTTCTTTACTTTGCTGTAAAGTTTGATTAGTTTTGGTGAAGTATTCAGTTTAGTTAGTTTGTTTTAGTTTATCTTAGGGTAGCACATTTAGTTTGAATTTCAGTCTAATTCATTGTTTATTTTTAGCTGATTGTGTAGTTTTATCAGTCTTATTTTAGTTAAGATTACTTTTGTTTTAGTTTGCTTAATATACTTACGTTAACCCTATTAAGGTTAGTTTGGTTTTGTTCTATTAGAGACGTGCGGTTACCTATCGGCTTAAGAACGGAGAGAAACCCGATCTTTCATGGTTGTAGGTTAATTTCGAAAATTCGAATTTCCTTGCGTCGTTCCGCAGATTTTGAAGTTCAACAACTTGCGCAGTCCTGCAATTTGCGGATTTCTTGCTTCGTTTTGGTTGTATTTCTCTTTTTAATTATCGCGCGCTTTCTTGTTGTCAAACATTGGGTTATTTAATAAATTCTTCCTATTAATTTTATTTTATTCAATCTACTATTTTAATAACTCTTGCTTTCGCCTGATACGCCCCACCCTTAAAACCTTATTACTAACGGTCCCGTTAAGCAGAAACCTGGGGTGCTCTATTAATGTGGTGTTTGTCGTTGCGGTTTTCATAATTAGAAACATTTAACCCACTGTCTACCTTTCTTTGCGCACAAAGCTGAAAGGAGTCGGGAGTTGCTAGCCA